GTTTATTCTCAAAGCGGCACAATACATGCAAAACAAATGAGAACGAACATACGTTTATTCTCAAAGCGGCACAATACATGCAAAACAAACACATATGCTATAAAACAAATATCTATATACTATATAACAAATATATCATCGAAATGATGGCCCCAACTCCTTCTGCTCCGGCTAGGCGTACCATTCATCAGCCGATGAGAGATTTGGTGGACATGCTAGCTGTGCTCCATAAAAAAAGCCGCAAAAGAGTTAGGAAAATAAAATGCCAAAAAAAGCGGTCAGAGATGGCACAACCCAGACCGAAAAAGGAGGCAGAGTAAACGCCACGAAAAGGCTCAGAGAGGAGGGATCCACGGATACTACTCCTGCGAAGAAAAGTAAGCGGGCCGGTGATGGGATAAATACCAAAAAGGAGGAGTCACAGCAATCAAAATGCGGAAATGAAGAGTGGACCGTGGTCCAAACAAAAAATAGAAAGGTCAAGCCAATCAAATTAGTGAACATGTAATAAGTAAGGATGTAATTGTAATCAAGCAAACGGGCATTATGTCATACAGCGATATGCTGAAAAAAGTTAAAAATGAAGAGGAGCTGCAAAAAGTCGGCGAAAATGTGACGAGAATACGGAAGACACTGAAAGGAGAAATGCTGCTGGAGTTTAAGCAAAGTGCGAAGGAAGTAAACTCTGCTTACCAGAAATTAGTGGAAAAAGCGCTAGGCCAGGAGGCTATTGTTAAACTAATGACCACGCAGACAAAGACCGAATTTAAGGACCTGGATGATGTTACCTCAGCGGATGACTTAATAGCTGCCATAAATACCAGCTTCAGTAGTCTAAATATCAAGAAGGAAGCAGTCACCTCAATCAGGAAGGCGTATGCTGGCACACAAACTGCAACTCTATCGGTTCCAACAAAAACTGCTAAAGAGTTACTTGAAGCCGGGAAAATCAAAGTTGGCTGGGTAGTGAGCAGGATTAGAGAAAAATCCACAGATCTTAAATTCTTTAGATGCTTCGAGACAGGCCACATTGCTAGAAATTGCAAAGGAAAGACAGATAGAAGCAAGTGCTGTCTAAAATGCAGCGAAGAAGGGCACCGGGCAAGAGACTGCAATAAGAGCCCGTGCTGTTGGATTTGCAAGGAACAAGGCAAGCCCCATGACCACCCAATGGCCGGCAGAAATTGCCCGGTAAATTCACGCGGCGCTAACAACAATGGACAGCCGTGAAGTGTACGCATATAAACTTAAATCATTGTCGTACTGCACAAGAGCTGCTAAAACAGAACGTCAGAGAAGCTTCGATTGACATAGTAGCCGTAAGTGAGCCATACAAGGTAGGCTCCGGAAACAGTTGGGCAAAGGACAAGTCTGGAACTGCAGCCTTTTGGCAATGCAGCTTGCATCCGTCAACCATGACATTCATCTCAGCAGGAGAGGGCTTCGTCTGTGTCAAATATAGAGAGGTTTACCTTTTCAGCTGTTACTTCCCGCCAAGTATAAACCACGCGGAATTCGAAAAACGTATAGATGAGCTATGCACCGACGCAAGGGAAAAAACACCGGTAATTTTCGCCGGTGATTTTAATGCCTGGGCGACTGATTGGGGTAGCAAGTGGACGAATGCTAAAGGCAGAATAGTGCTTGAATCCCTAGCCTCATTGGATTTGACAATCCTAAACGAAGGTAATGAAAACACTTTTAACAGAGATGGCCGTGTCTCCGCGATCGATATTACCATGGCCAGTAGTGCATTGGCCTTGCGTATACGATGTGGTGTTAGCAACATATATACACACAGTGATCACGCAGCAATAATCTGGGAAATACAGCAGAGCATGCGGGCGAACAGGGTAAAACACCGTCTCAGGGGACCCAAGTGGAAACCAGAATCGCTAGATAAAGAACTCTTCGAGCTTACTTTGGAAGAAGCTGAACCCAGAAACTCAGCTCAGGCTGCCGCCGCGGAGGTTTTAGCACGGATTATAAAAGCCTGTGACGGTTCAATGATAAGACGTTGCTTCTGTAAGTCCAAGGAGCCAGTATACTGGTGGACTGACGAGATAGCCGAACTAAGGACTCAATGTAACAGAGCGAGGCGTGTCTACCAAAGGTCGAGAAAAAAAACTGTTTTCAGAAACTGATAAATGAGATTAATGAGGATCCATGGGGGATGGCGTATAAACTGGTAATGAAGAAATTGATGTATTCTGACCAACCAAGCTGTGCTTAATTTGTGGAAGAGATAATTGGTACACTGTTCACACAGAAAGCCATGTTCGTGTATGTGCCACTGAGGGAGGAGAGGGACAATATAAATCTCACCCGGCCCGAGGAGATTGCGGCCATCGCAAAAGAAATAAAAGCTAAGAAAGCGCCTGGCCCTGATGGTATCCCAAATTGCGCTATTAAGCAAGCCATGTTGGCA